ACACTGCTGAGGGGAGCAGCTGGCAGGTCAGGAGAGGTCTGCCGCGCCATGTGGGTCACCTCCCGGGCAGGCAGGGATCAAACTCATGCTGAAGTGGCTTTAGCTTGTTTGTGCTGTGCTTTAACCCACTGTGCCACCAGGGAGGGCCCTCCCCTTAATTTTTTACAAAAATATGAAGCATAGGGATGTTAAAGCAGAAAATCAAGCTGTAGATATGTATTCTTTCAACTTTGGAATTTCAAATTACAAATTTGGACCCTATTATTAAACGTACAAAACACAGTGGATCTTACTTTTTCTTCAAATTTATCTAAAGATGTTAGACAGGGAAACCTCAATGCAAAAATCCATGTCTATATCAACTGGATCCACTTACAAACACCAGGACAAAATAAGTGTGGATACTGTGGAAACCAAGAAGGAATCGTAGATAGCTTTATCCAAGTAGAATAATAAAAAATTGAAATCTACACTTAACAAAACTTAGAACAGTTATTGATTTACATTTTACTTTTGTATACAAGAACTGGGCTATATGCCAGAAGTGTACAGATGAGGAGATTCACCAGACAGAGTGAGGAGTAGAATGGGTGAAGCTACTGAAATGCTCTGCAGAGTAAAGCAATGGGTGAGACAGGAGAGGTCTGCTGTGCCAGTGAGTCACCTCCCTGGCCGGGGATGGAACTTATGCCACAGTGGCTGGTGAGATCTTGATAGCACTGAGATTTTAAATCCTGTGCCACCACAGGGAGCTCCAAAAAAAAAAAAAAAACATATTATTCATATGTTGTTTTCAAAACAACATATGAATAATAATACAGATGTGATTTCGGCTCTATCCAAGATCACAATTAAATCCAGTTTCTGCTACTCTTAACTTTGCTACCTTGTCCTGCTAATTTATAGCTGAGTTTTGCAAAGATTAAAGCTTGAGAAGAAATATGTGAAGCTATGTTAAACTGTAGAGTTTCAACTAAAAATGAAGGTGAGAATGATAAATGTGAAACTCTTGAGAAGATAACAATTCTTCTATCAGTTCATTGCATCTAAAATGAGTTGAGGGCCTCCCTGGTGGCCTAAGGGTTAATTCTCAGTGCAACCACCAAGATAGCCTGAGATCATCTCAGGCTGGGGAGCTGACCCACATACCTTGCAGTAGACCTCTCCTGGCTCACCCTCTGCTTCCCTTAGCAATGCATTTTTAAAAATCCACCTGTTTTGCTCCCCTGTCTGTCTCTGGTGAGACTCTTATGCTTGAAACGCTGTTCAACACCCCCCCCCCATTCTTCTATGGAAAACCAACATCTAACTACTGAAAGCTGACTATAGATCTGAAGCACAGGGGAAGAAAAGGACAAGACAGAAGTGGGAGGGAGCACAATGTGCTAGAGTGTGGACTGTGGGTGTTTGGGTGGTGAGAATAATAGTACCTCCAGGGGAGACTCTCTACTTCTACAACATAAGCAACAATGTAAACCAGTGTTATTCAATTAAAAAATAAGAGCAAGAATATTTTTTTAAGATTTATTTATTTATGCATACAGAACTGGGGTACAGGGCAGAGGTGCAGGGGTGGTAAGAGGATTCACCAGAGACAGAGTGGGGAGCAGAACAGATTGACTGACAATGTACACTGCTGAGGGGAGCAGTGGGTGAAACAGGAGAGGTCTGCTGTGTGGGTCACCTCCAGGGCAGGCGGGGATCGAACTCATGCTGAAGTGGCTTTAGCTTCTCAGTGCTGTGCTTTAAATTACTGCACCAAGAGGGAGGGCCTGCAAACATATGTTTTTATGAATAACATGATATTGAAACTTGAATGATTCTGAAATGGTTCCCTATAGATGAAATGACTCTCTCAAATTCAGCAATGAAATTCAGACTTAGCTTACACCATGAAGCTACTTCTTCATGCTATTTGCATAAAGGAGGGAGGGTTCCAGAAAGAGGATTCCCTTTCCTTGTTTCATCTTTGGGTTCTAAGTATGAAAAATCACACGATAACCTTTTACACAAGGACTTAAAGCTACCCATAAGACAAGTAATAAACAATTCACAAGAATACAATTATTTTCCATTATGAGATCTTAAAATAGCAGCAAATATATTTCTTATTCCAACAATGTTTTTAAAAAGCCAATTCTGAGTAGGTGCTGACTGTATTTACTGACTGAAACAGCCAACTCCAATAATAATCATCTTTTCATATTGACACTTAAAATAAATTTCTCGCAGAAACTGAGTTCTATAAATGATGGCTGTAGGAATATGCACTGTCCAGGCAGTTGTTTTGTGGAAATGGTGCTGTTATTTTCTGGTGTTTTCGAAGTCATCTCATATGGAGCGTGAAAATGAGATGCCAAGAGAGGCTTAAAAAAGATACAGAAGACCAGTTTCAGAGTGGAACATCACTGATCCCAGCCTTCAAAGTTGTGAGGAAGCTCATCTAAAGTTAAGTGTTTACTGGTATCGACCTGATTCTATTTTAGAGACACCTACATGCACATGCATGTACACACACACACACAGGAACTTATTCTTATTTTCTCTGGGTTGAAAAGTACACAAATATTAGAATATACTTATTACATTACTATGCTCAGCTCTGATTTGATTTACATTTGGTCTTTGCTAAGATGGAGGATAGTTACCAGACATGAAGAAAGTACAGATAAAGACAGCATAGTGTCTATAAATATGAGTATGTGTGTATTATATAATATCATATATAAAGCACATACACATATTTTGTGTTATATCATTGCTTATTGGTTGTTTCTCTGAAGAAACTGATAAATACATGACTTTCAAAGCTTGCCCAATAGTTGATGATAAAGCATTAAAACAACAAATATAACAATCTTCCTTTCTCTTGGGGGATACAGTCTCCGCAAAGGTGTTCCGATAGACATTCCCCAAGATGTCCAGAATAGGCCTTTTCCAACACGTGTTACCTTGGGATGTGAAACTAAGATAAACTGATGCCATAGCAGCCATAAAACAATCCATTATCATCACTTAGAAGATAGAGACTACTCAGATTCAACAATAGTTCCAGAATGTTCCCACACAGGAGGCCTATTTTAAGACCAAACAACCATGTGGACTTAAGATTTTGTCATACAAAGCCATCTTTTACTTGTCATACAAATTTCCCATACACATTTTTTTTAATATGATGTTTTCTCCTACCTGCCTATTGCTAATTTGTTTACCCTGTGTCAGAAGAACCCAGAAAGACAGAAGATTTTTTCTCCTGTCCGAACACCCCCTATGTCTTAACTAATAGCATAATCTCTCTGAATTGTCTCTGCTAAAGTGGTGCATTGTGAGTACTTCTCATAGCTGGAGTACTATTAACTAATTCCCTTAATGTCGTTTGGCCAATCATCAATCCTTCATCCACTTATCACTGTATAGGAATGAGCTAAACCACAGCCCCCCCCCCACCCTAGTGGCGCAGCACCATTTTATCAAGGTAATTAGTAAATAATTTGGTTACTATAAATAAATTGCTGGTGATGCCAGTAAAGGAACTAAAGTATATGAACAGTATGCCATTCTTTTCTCAAAACTGCATTAAGTAAAACTTCAAAACAACAGAATAATTTAAAAAAAATGAATTAATGAAAATATGCATTCTCACTATCTACATTAAAACATATTATTTTTTAAAAGATTTATTTATTTATACATACAAAATTTGGGTACAAGCCAGAGGTACAGGAGTGGTGAGAGGATTGATTCACCTGAGACAGAGTGGGGAGCAGAACAAGCAGATCAACTAAGTATACTGTTGAGGGGAGCAGTGGGCAAGACAGGGAAGGTCTGCTGCACCCTGTGGGTCAGCTCGAGGCCTGGGATTGAACTGGCACTGAAGCAGCTGTGGCCTAACACACTGTGCCACTAGGCAGAGCCCACATTAAGGAATTAATTAAGCAATTATTAACATGCATGTATTTTGCCTTATTTATATGCATGGACATTTTGGGAGAAAGTGGCATTTGTCATAATAATCTCTATTCAGTAGTGCATCAGTATCTTGAAAACAAGTCTCTTATGTAATCACATTGCTATTTATGAAAATTATTTAAAATCACTCTCT